TTGTACTTATTGTTCATTGCTTTATGGTTCTAGGCTTGTAGAGTGTATGCATAGGTGTTGCACATTTGTAGCCTTCTTTAGTGTAGATCATACTCTAGTTTTTGGTTCTCAAAGTGTATTCTTTGTGGTGTTTCTTGGCAGTGTGATCTGCTAGATATGCCTGTTGTGGCACAATTGGAGAAAGATGTTAAATATGCTTTGGTATATCAGCTTCTAAAGATCTTTCTAACGCAACGGTTGGATGCATACTTAGATTTTCAGCTAGCAAATTAGTTATGGAGAAACATAAGACCAATGTCCAACAGGAATAATGCACTCTAGGTGACACCAGATCCAAAATGCCCAAAGAAACATATGGAAAGAGCAGCAGCAAACCAACATTAAGAGGCATCACACTCAATAAGAGTGACTAGTTGATATTATGGGGCAAATGAGAGTTGGCTAACTTTTTTTGTTCCATGATGAATGGGCATGTGGTTTTATGTATAATAAACATAATTATAGTTTATTTAATTTAGTGCTCAAAGTTGAGCACCATTTCCTAAATCTTGAGGTATTATTGAATGAAACTGCTGTTGGATTCACCTACAAGATCCAACTCAACTACATTTTTAATCTAAAGCAAGACTGTGCATTGCTTACCCAAGAATGTGTCAAGATCTCATAAACTATTTCCCAATGAAAATTTGAAGCTCCTCTATACTCATTTCCTCACTCACAGAAGCGTACACATGCACACAAAGCACCCCAAAAAATCATGAAGATGAACTTTAAAACCTATTGCAGCAAGCTTTTGCAGAAAAACTTTCCAAAATAGTACACTCATTAAAACTACCATACAATCTCCAGCAAAATAACACCAAAATGTGCTATTTGGTTGCTTTTTCCTTTTCTTTCTTTTTTCACCAAGTAAAATTTGCAAGTGTTAGTGTCTACTCTTTTTGTAAAATACATGGCATAGGATATGACCAAAGAACTAGAGCAAAAAAGTGAAACATGAGCCCAAGATAATTGTTTGAGCTGCTCAAGCAATTATTGAACTACATAAGTTTAGACTTTCATGACAAACACACCATTAAATTGAAATATAATTCCATCTGCAAGGAACCTAAAAGTAGACAAGTTAAGATGACTAAACTTGATGATGGCTAAGTTACACATATAGCCCCAACAATGTAGTCAGTCTTTAAAATAATCCAAAACCAACAACATTTTTACCTTTTGGAAAAACAGATATTTAGATCTCTATGGCATACATTAAATTTAAAGGTAAAGCAAAAAATAAATAATAGGTACTCTAAATATTGATGTGGTATTTATATAACAAAGATATATATAAGTCTGTGTCATTTGGAGGAATGAAGACATGCTAGGTCGGAGATTATAAATCAATCTTAATTCCAAGGATGGATTGTTATTATGCAGTAACGATTGTAGCCAAACAAATTTGTTTCAATCTCTACTGCAAAGCAGTGCTACTGTAGCCTAAATTCATGATTTAGTGGGGAAAAGAAAATATTTTTGCTAATTAATATAAGATACAATAATAGGGGAAACCCAAATGGGAATGAAGTTTCAAGGTAGCCAAATAAGGAGGAAGACAAAAGTTGAATAAAGTAATTGTAAATAGAGCATATATATATACATATATATATATGTAAAGCCCCTGAAATATGTATTTATTTTTAAGACCCTAATGATGAATTATTTTCTTAAAGCCCTCGTTTACTTGAATTAATTCGAATCTTCTCGATTAGCAATTACTATTTTTTTTTATTTTTATTTTATCAAAACAGAAATTCCCTAACCTAATTTAATTCTACCTAGGTAACATGTATTTAACTTCAAGCCCTCATTTCTTTTTTAAACTTGCCCCAAAATAGTACTTGTATCTTGTACCTTGGTATACCATCAATCTTGCAATATATATATATATATATATATGTGTGTGTGTGTGTATAAACACCTTGAGGGATGTGCCTAGGACCAAAATTAATAAAAAATTTGCCCCATTACACTCCCCCAAGGCTAGCCCTCCTAGGGAAGGGAGAGAGAAGCCAATTTTCTAAGACCATGATTATGAGATTCTAGAGAAACACAACCTAGTGACCTACCTAAGATGCAAAATCCAAGAATTAGTTTTATTACAACTAGATGTGGCCTTAATCAATGGAATAAGCCTCCTAAGCCCCTTCTATTCCTTTAGAATTCAATCAAACCCTAACCCTTCCATCTAATTCCAACTAAAGGGCTTTTATGTCGTTTTACCCCAAATTTGCCTATGTATACCACACCCCCCCTAGCTTGCAAACATACACACAACACACTCACTCAAACACACATTTTGGTTAAAGAGAGGGAGGAGAGCAAGGAAGAGAAGTCTAGAGGAGGAGAGGGAAAAAGAAGAGAGTTTTTTGTGCAAAGCTAGAAGGTAAGCCACCAACACAACCTTCTCTTCATTTTCTTTTCTAATGCATGTTCTTTTAAAGATTTTAAGTGATGTTTCAGATCTGTTATTATCATGTTCTTATGTTAAAAATACCAAGATTTGAGTATTGTTTCCATCTCTCTTGTATTTTCCTCATTTTGGTACAAACCATCTTCTTTTGTACAAATCTCTCAACTTTTCAAGGGCACTCTTTCAAACAAATTTTCTGAGTTAAACATGTGATAGTTAGCATATTTTCTTCACAAAAGAAATGACACTTTCCCTTGGTGGAACCCCCTTTTCATAAATCTTCTTAATTTGGGCATTCTACCGTAGAACCTGTTTTTGCAGCCAACTTTCGAAAATTCCATAAAAATGTAAAAAAATATTCTGAACCTCCATTTTATGTCAAAACCTTCCTTTAGAAGTTAGCTTTCAACTAAAATTGGTTTCATCGAAAAACATTGAGCGGTTTGCAAGAAAATCAAGTTTTCGTAACAGTCGACAGATCCGGGCAGATTCTGGACAAACCCTGGACAGCGCTGAAATATCTTCTAAATAACTTAGAATCTGGAAGAGCAACCCCAATTCCGAAAAATGTTCTAGAAACTAGATTGAATCCTCTACAAATCATAGGAAGGCCAAGCCCGATAAAGGATCTAAAATAGCTCTTTCATTTTAATCTTTATGCAATGCTAAATCTGGAAATTTTGTTAGGTATGGATGTTTTGTACCTTTGAGTTCATGAGATTGTTGTAGCTTATAATCATGTCTTGACCTGATAATATATGTGTTGTGGTTATATTATTTACCTTTCTCGTCTTAAGAATGTATGCTTATATGGATATTAATGTTTTATATGTTGAACTAACCTTGTTTTAAAACATTTAATTCAACGGGAAACCTAATTGGGTGGGTATTGGGTTTTTCAAACATTTGAGTAATGAAAAGATGAGAATATGTGGTATATGGTATGTTGGGATGCGTTCCCTATTTAAAAGTTAAAGTCTTGCGCAAGTGGTTTTCGGAACCCTTGAACGGAGCGGTTGTATTCGGACCCTAGGTGGTTTGGTGTAAGGAGGGATTCGGGCAAGGCCCTATTTTTACCGTCTCTTTTGAGGCCCTACGGTTAGCGCTACACGGTATATAACCGTTGGTAGGCATCCGAGGTTAGTTCTACAACAAAGCAGCAAAAGAGGGGGCATACCGAATAATCTGCGTCCGATTCTTGTGGTTGGGAGGACAGAATCTCTTTGGGGGATTTCTAGTTTACTGACATCTAACTTAACTATTTATTTATTTATTGATTTATTTATTGTAATATCATGCTTTACTACTTGATGTTATATTTTGTGTTTGTGTATTGGACTAGGAAAAAGGGGTAGGGTGTGTGCGTGTGTTTACTGGGCATTCAAAGCTCACGACGTATCATGCCAGGTGACGAAGAGGAACTCATAGCTGGAGATGTCGAACCTGAAACATTTGAAGACTTTTGGCTATCCTAGAATATTAGAAGTTTCTTTTGATATTTTTGTAAGACTTATGTGAGGTTTAAAACTTTCTTTTTGAGATGTAATGTAATGGAACAATCTTTTTAATCAAGTATATTGTGGTTATTATGTAATTATATTCGATGTATGAACCTTATCGTTGCTCATGAGACCTTGTGTCAATGCCTTGTAAGATCTGTCAAAAATGTAGTGCGCTGCCCAAGAAAGCTGGATTTAGAAGGGAGGCTATTTTGACTCCTCCGGCGATCTGAGATCTTACTTGGTTATTGACCATAGGACTCACTAGTGACTCTCCCTTGACTGCAACCTATAGTGTAGAATCAGGGCGTCACAATATATATAGGTTTGTTTGCCGACAACAACCAAAAAGAGTAAATAAGAATTGATTTATAGTTGGTTAGATTTTGTTAGGGGAAAACAGTGATGGACCTTCAAAAATGTGGCTTTACCATTGAAAACCACATGCAAAACAGAGAACAAAAATTTGACAAAACAAAGAACAAACATATGATCTTCAACATTCAAAACTAGCACCAAAAATCACAAACCCACTTAAATTTGAAGATCAAAACCACCAAAACTATGTTGGGAATGTGTTATTCTTTGTTTATTCGCAAAAAATGATGATATAGATGATAAAGATACATATATAGATACATACATATGTTTGTTAATATAGAGAGAGAAAGAAGACTTTTTAACCTACCTTTGGCGAATGAGAAGAATGAGTTCAATCATTTTGGCCAGTAACGCAGACCACAACGCCATTCGAACCCCTTCTTGCTGTCCGAACCACTCGTTGTCTCTGCGTCTGAACCCCTCATTTTACTCTACTGCTTCTCTCTTTTCTCTACTGCTTCCTTCTTTTCCCTCAAAAAATTAGTGATGTAAAGAGAGGAAATAATTAATTTATGCTTAGTTTTGATAATATATTGAGGGTGTAATGGGAATTATATTTTTTTAGTACGATTATGCTTTAGAACCCAGCATCCCTACACCCCCATTTGAGAGAGAGAGAGATAAAAAAAAAACATAATGTATGATTATAAATAAATTGAGGGTTGTGGGGATCAAAAAATTGTGAGGTTTAAGTATTTTCTTTTCTGATAGTGTAATGAGATGAAAAGTGTAATGAGGTAAAACAGTGGTGGTGTAAAATAGAATCACCCTTTCAACAAACAAAGCTCCGCGAAAACAAACACTTGACGAGTCCCGGATCTCTGTGAGTGGGAAAAATCTGGAGAGCTCGTAAACCCAACGAACCAACGATGTCGACGCTACAATTGATCTTCCTCACTGCAATCCCATTTCTCGCCACACTCTGCAGCTCCTTCTCTCCCGAACGCCCCACCGATCGTCGAATTCTCGTCTTGCTCGATGACCTCGCTATCAGATCTTCGCACTCCATCTTCCTCAATTCTCTCCAATCTCGCGGCTTCGACCTTGATTTCAAACTCGCCGACGATCCCAAGATCTCCTTACACAGATACGGCCAGTACTTGTACGACGGCTTGATCCTCTTCTCTCCAACGGTCGAGCGTAAGCACTTCGATTTTTTGTTTTTTTATTTTTTTATTTTACAAATTCAACACATTTCGAAAGTTTGTTGGCAATGGAAGTTTGTATGTGGTTGATTTTGAATTGATAAACGCGCTTTTGTCTTTTCATTTGTTAATTGTAATTGTTTTGATAGGTTTCGGGGGATCCATTGATTTGGCAGCTATTATCGATTTCGTCGATGCTGGTCATGATTTGATTATGGGGGCAGATTCTTCTGCCTCTAATCTAATTCGAGAGATTGCCACCGAGTGCGGAGTTGATTTTGATGAGGTAGAGTGTAGGCATTATGTATGTTTTATAAATAATAATTTTGTTTTTATTCACCTCGATGTACAATTATATGTCGGAATCTCCAACTTTAATTCTCTTTCTCTTCTCTCTTAGCTTGATTTAGCTATATATATATATATATATATATTTATTTATTTGTTTGTTGCTGAGAATTTTAAATTGATGGGGTTTCGTAATTTATTTACGGATATAGGATCCGGGAGCTATGGTTATTGATCACATCGGCTATGCAGTTTCAGACACAGATGGTGATCATACATTGATTGCTAGTGATGAATTCATTCAGTCTGAAGTGCTTTTGGGAAGCAAGAAAATCGAGGTGAGTTCCAGTGTTGCTAATATATATATATATATTGCTATGGCTGAGGTTGTATGTGATCATGAGTGCTGCAAATACCTACTTCAATTCTACAAGTATTGTGTCGCTTACTTATTTATTGATCTTCATTTGCAAGCAATGTTGTCTAAAGTTATTGCAAGTGTTTCTAACATTGTGATCCAATAATTTTGAATATCTTCAGCTTAGGTGGTGTTTGATGACCTAATTAAGCATTTAAAATTGAATGTATTAAGCTCAAATCAATTAAGTTCGTTTGATAACTACAATTAGTATCACCTAAAAATTTAAGTGACTTTTAATATGTAGGCAAAAAGTAAAGAAGTTTTTAAGTGATATGAAATTTATTTAATTCTGATTGAATTTATGAATACTAAACATAAGTTTCGACATACGCTATTATAAACTTACTGTCGCTGCCGCCGTGTCCACCACCACAAACGCTACTACTACTACCACCACCACCCTCATCACACCGCTGCTGTTGCTGCCACTACTACTACCACCACCTTCATCACCATTGTCATTGTTACTGTAAGCGCAACTATCATTTGCCACCATACCACCGCAATAGTTGCTACTATTATACTATCACCACTACAACAACTACTACAACCCTTCACCTTTGCAACCACTGTCATTGTTGCCATAATCACCATCATTCCACCAATAAAATAACTACCATCATTACACCACTGCCACTCCCTTTTTTATCTCCAGAACCACTATCCCATTATCTCCACCATCATTGCCACTGGCACCATAGCTAGCACCGCACATCCTCCTCCACTACCAACTTACCATCACAATACAAAAATTGGAATATACAATTTGAAAATAACAAACTTCAAATTTGATCTTGTACATATCAAAAAACTTGTTTTAGTTCAACACTTAAATTTTTATCGAACAACTTTTTAGCTTAAAAAATTCAGCATTCAGTACTTAATATTTAGTTTTCAGTTTTCCGTTTTATCAAATACCACCTTAGTAAATACGTATAGTATTGTTATCCAGTGCTTTTCAATAGTGAGTTTTCCACAACCTGCAATCTCCCTCTTTTAAGCCTTGACACATGTTTTGTGCATTTTGACATTTGACTGATTATGTACTCTAAGTCGTTACATGTTTTCTATGCATGTAACATGTTTTGTAGCCCGAGTTTCTAATGTGGTTTCTGCATAATTTCCACAGGCTCCAGTTCTCTTTCGGGGAATTGGTCATTCATTACATACTGCTAATAACTTGGTAAGTTGTCTCCCTTTGATATGAATTATGGCCTGATGAGCAACATCTAAAGGACATGTGGTTTGAAATTTTAGTTTTGACATTTAATGGATATAGAAGAAAAGGGGGTATTTTCTTACATTTAACTCCTCAGTGCTTTTCTATTTCATTTTTAGCAATAAAATATCGTATGCACCACTTGTATAGGTGTTGAATGTTCTCTCAGTGTCTCCTTCAGCGTATTCTGCAAATCCGAAGGGCAAGTTGGCAAATCCTCCCTCACTCATTGGATCTGCAATCTCTTTAGTTTCAATTGTGCAGGTAGGATGTTTCTTGACTCTTTTTCCCTTATTCTCACTTGAAATGGTCACTATATTCTGCTTCCTGATTATCATGTTATTAATTACACCTTAGTGGTCTTTTCAATCAGACTGATCTCATGGCCAATTGACATTTCTAAGCAGTGATCTCGTCCTTTAAATGATTCAGCACAGCGAATGACTGAAAGCCAATAGATTAAATACAGGGTTAGGGTCAATCCAAAAAGTAGCTTTTAGGATTGAGTTTTATACCCAAAATTGTGTCACATGTTATCGGAGCTGAGCTAGACTTGTTGTAGAAATGGGTACGTGTCTTGTAGCGTGCAAGGAGGATGTGCAGCCAAGTCTTACATCACCTAGGTACAAACTGTATGTGCAGTGTATAAGCGTGAGGATACTTACTTCATAAGCTACCTTTAGGGGTTGAGTTTCATCGAAGACTGTGTAACTTGGTATCAAAGCTGGACATACCACAGGGATGGGTAGGGCGCGTATTCAAGGCCTTGCATGTTAGGTGTTGAGGGAAGGTTTGAAGGGAAGCTTCACATCACTTGGGATACAAAGGGGCTTGATACCTTGTTTGCTAATGTGCCCCTAAGTTAGGATTATTGCATGCTGTTTGGTGCAGCTGAAGAGCAGAATGCATGAACTGGCAAGTCACTTCCACAATCAATCTAATATGTTGCTAGCTATTATCATTTATTGAAAATTAGTAACATGTTTCAAGGCTTGGGTCATTGACAAATTTATTTTGTTGTTCAATTTAACATTTTGATATTAACAATTGTAAGTACTAAATTTCTTAATTCTTCAAATTTATAGATAAATTTACGTGTTAAAATTAAAGTTCAAAAGTATTTGCAATTGAGGTAATTAAACATTTAGTGATAAGTTACGTGTTGTTGACTAAAAATTTGACCTGGATTTTGTGTTTGAAATGATAACTTGGGGAGTGTTTGATAATCAGATTCAACACTTAAAACTGAATGTATTTAATAATAATTAATTAAGCCTGTTTGATAACCACAATTGGTATCACTTAAAAATTTAAGTGCCACTTAAAAATTTAAATGCTTCTTAAAATGCAGGCTAAAATTTAAGAAAATTTTAAGTCATATGAAACTTTATTTTGAGTGAATTTATAAATACTAAACATAAGTATCGATATACACTATTTATAAACTCACCACCACCACCACCACCACGCCATTGCCACCACTACCACTACCATTGCCACTACCATTACCTTCATTACCATTGTTATTGTTGCCATAAGTACCACCCAGTGTTTTTCAAGGCGAAAAGCGAACCGAGGCGACAAGGTCACTTAACGCTTAAGTGCGAGGCGACCAGAAAGGATATTTTTTAAAAATAAATGGTATAGACAAAAATATAAATATTTTCAAGAACCATCATGCAGTTATCATTCCAAATACTAAATATCCATAAACAAAAGAAAATATCCAACAAACACAAATACAATCCACCAATCCAAAAGTTCTAAAAATCATCTTCAACATCAAGCAAATGAACTTCTTCTTCATTATCATTGGCTTCAGCATATCTCTCTGCATCTTCTTCCTCTCCCCCATCTGAAATTGACTCTTCCGCATCAATAAGTTGCAATCTAGGTCTAGCTGCTGATTTTGAAGTTGAACAACCCCTTTCTATTGCCCTTGTTGATCTAGTTCTTTGACTACTTTCCTCAACTCCAGCAGCTCTAGCAACATCATCCCATGTCAAAGTATCATCTTCAAAGACAAGTTCCTCCTCCATCCTCCCAACCAACCACTCGTTTCTTTCATCAATATCTGTCAAAGCAATGGGATCAATGGTGTCATGGGAATTGTATCAACGTCTCAATGCTCTATTATACTTAACAAATACCAAATCATTCAGACGTTTTTGAGCTAGCCTATTTCTCTTTTTGGTGTGAATTTGCAAAAATTCAAACCAAATAAAAATATTCAAATTTTTATCTAGGTATTAATAAATTTATAGGTATTCATATTCACTATAGTTAAAAATAGGTACTCACATGTTCAAACACACTCCAATTCCGCTCACATCTAGATGAGCTACAAGTTAGACTAAGAATTTTAATGGCGAATGTTTGCAAATTTGGCATTTCAGAACCATATGCACTCCACCAATCAGTTGTTGATTATAACTAATTAATTAGAAAGAATATTTAAAATATAAAAAAACTAACTAAAATTACTTAAGTATAAAATATAGATCACCTGGTGCCCTTGAAGTTTTTTGTCTAATGGCCAAAGCCATCCCAAGAGACCATCAACTTTCTTATAGGTAGTCAACTCTGCGCAAACTTTATCTTGTGTCTCATTGCTTGGGACCAACCTTTGTATGCATTTATACAGGCCTGACATGATTTCCTTATCTTTCTCAATATTCGGATTTGCGTAAAAATACTCTGGGTTTAAATAATACCCAGCTGGATGCAAAGGCCTATGCAATTGAACATTCCATCTATTGTCAATTATTTCAAAAAACTCCTTGTACTTCTCTTCATTTCCATTAAATGAGTTTGCAATGGCTTCTTTAGCCCTATCCATTGCCTCATAAATATATCCCATGGGAGGCTTTCTCTCACCATCAACCAATCGCAGTACACGAACAAGAGGACTTGATATTTTGAGAGCATAAAGAACATTGTTCCAAAAAGATGGCATTAATATGACTTGTGCGGTCTTTTTACCCTGTGGTTCTTTCGCCCATTTGCTTGTGGTCCATTCCTCTGAAGTGAACATCTTCTTCAAGTTGGTTTGTTGTTGATGAATCCTTGATAAAGTTAGAAAAGCAGTTGCAAATCGAGTTTTTGCTGGCTTGATCAAATCCTTGCACTGGGTAAATTGCCTCATCATATTCAACAAACCAGAGCGGTTCACAATATAACCATGCACCGCAATTGCCTTTTCAAATGTCTTGTTGAAGTTGGGAATTTTGAAAATGTCCTCCAACATCAAGTCTAAGCAATGAGCTGCACATGGCGTCCAATACAAATGTGGCCGCTTTGCTTCCAAAAACTTCCCTATTACAAGTTTTTTTTTAAAAAAAGAATAATATGAGAATTGCATATTCATATTGTAAGTAAGTACTAAGTAAATGTATACTACTAAGTTACTAACCGGCCAACACATTTACTGAGGCACTATTTGTAACAACTTGAACCACGTTGGCTTCACCAATACGCTCCACAAAGATGTCAAGCAATTCAAACATCTTATTTGCATCCTTGGATAAGCTAGAAGCATCAACGGATTTAATAAACATTGATCCTCTTGGGCAATTAACCAAAAAATTAATTAATGCCCTGTTTCTTTTGTCCTTCCACCCATCGGCCATTAAAGAGCATCCATATGTTACCCAATTTTTTTTATGATCCTCCATGGTCTTATTAGTGTGGTCTACCTCTTTCTACAAATAAGGAACCCGCACCTCATGGTAGCTTGGTGGTTTCATGCCAGGACCATATTGCCCAAAAGCTTCAACCATTGGCCCAAAACTATTGTAGTTCACAACATTGAAAGGTATACCCGTATGATACATCCACCTCGAAAACAAAACAAGAGCCCGATCTCTCAACACCTTCTTGCTAGGATCATTATCATCAATTCTTGTTTGCTTTCCCTTGGCTTTACGATTTTACACCGCAACTTCCGGATCAGAGGTGAAGTACACATCCATGGGTCCCTTTTGCTTTGGTTGTTTGGAATCAACAGATTTGGAGGAGTTACTTCCTTGTTCTCGACGGGTAGAACCTTGAGTAGAAACAGGCCTTTTACCATGTTGATTTATCTCAAGAATTTCATCAGCATCATAGTCATCATTATCCATCTCATCAAAATCAGGAACCATCCTCAATTGCACCTTTGATTGACTTTTTTGAGACATATAGTCTTTAATCTCATCTTTGACATGAGATGGACATTTTTTACAAGCAACAACATTTTTATAACCACCAGCAAGATGTTGCTTGACTCGGTAAACACCGTCATTCATTTCTTTGTCGCAAAAGTTACAAATGAACTTTGAAAGGTTTTGGGGATTTACCATCCGTGCATATTGCCATGTCGGATCTTTTTTACTTTCACTCGACTTCGACATTAATTCTATCCAACAAGCAATTCAATGTTTCAGCATAAGGAAATTAAAGAACATATTTTATCAACATTAAAGAACATAAAGAAATTAAAATAGTTGAAATTAATTGAATTCAAATAATTAATTGAATAACCAGGAAATTAAAATAACCAGGAAATTAATTGAATTAAATTAATTGAATTAAAATTAACAAATTAATTGAATTAAAATAATTAATTGAATAACCAGGAAATTAAAATAACTAGGAAATTAATTTTATTGAATTAAATTAATTGAATTAAAATAAACAAATTAATTGAATTAAACAAATTAATTGAATTAAAATAATTAATTGAATAATCAGGAAATTAAAATAATCAGGAAATTAATTAAATTAATTGAAATTTTAACACAGAAGAAAAAAAACAATTGAATTAATTGAAAAAAAAATAATTTTAAAATAATTGAATTAATTTAAAAAATTAATTTTTACGAATTAATTTTTGCGAATTAAAAATTAATTTTAAAAAATAATTGAATTAATTTTAACACAGGTTCGACAGTGTTCTTCAATTAATTGAAAAAATTGAACAAAAAAGAACAGGTGAAGTCGAAGGGAAGAACAGGGGGGAAGAACAGGTGAAGTCGACAGTGAACAAAGGAGAAAGGAAGAAGAAGAAGAAAGGAAGAAGAAAGAAGAAGTAGGAACTCACCTCGGAACGACGTCCGAAGAAGGAACGAAGTCGACGAACGAAGACCCAGATGATTCGACTTCTGAAGAAGAAGACCCAGAAGACCCAGATGTCGACGAACGAAGTCGATCTAGGGTTTGGACTTCTTATTTAGTAATTAACTTTGTCGATGAAGGACCCAGATGATTCGAACGAAGTTGATGAAGGGCCCAGATGATTCGAACTTAAATCAGGCCAAAATCTGACGAAGCGTCGCTTATCTTCGCCTCGCGCTTCATTGCCTAAGCCTCGCTTCAGGTGCTTCTCCATCGCCTCACCATTTCGCCTCGCCTCAGTGTGCGTGAAGCGCTAAAGCCTCACCTCGCCTCGCTTAGCGCTTAGGCGAGCATTTAGGCTCGCCTCTGATAACATTGGTACCACCATCATTTTGCTACCACCACCATCACTACCACTACCACCACAATGCCACTTTGTCCTCTGTTCTGCTTCTTTGGTCTTCTCTAGTCTTCTTCTCTTGCTCTCTGTTTTTTTTCTCCTTTATTCTTCTTCTCTGTTTTTCTCTGTGCTCTTTGTTTCTCCTGAGTTTTTTCCCCTCTGTTCTACTCTTTTTTTTTTCTCCTGTCATCTCTCTGTTTTTTTTCTTTGTAAAAAAAAAAAAAAAAAAGTTTGCCTATTTTATAATTTTGCTTGGCTTTTACTACATGCACCTTGCTTTGGTGAGGTGCTTGCCTCGCGCCTTGCGCTTAGGCTATAGGAGACCTTATCGCTTTGGTGCGCCTGGAGCCTTTTAAAACATTGAACGAAGTCGATGAAGGGCCCAGATGATTCGAACTGAAATCAGGCAAAAATCTGGTGAAGCGTCGCTTCGTTTCGCCTCCCACTTCATTGCCTAAGCCTCGCTTCAGGCGCTTCTCCATCGCCTCACCATTTCGCCTCGCCTCAGTGTGCGTGAAGCGCTAAAGCCTCGCCTCGCCTCGCTTAGCGCTTAGGCGAGCATTTAGGCTCACCTCTGATAACACTGGTACCACCATCATTTTGCTACCACCACCATCACTACCACTACCACCACAATGCCACTTTGTCCTCTGTTCTGCTTCTTTGTCTTCTCTAGTCTTCTTCTCTTGCTCTCTGTTTTTTTTCTCCTTTATTCTTCTTCTCTGTTTTTCTCTGTGCTCTTTGTTTCTCCTGAGTTTTTTCCCCTCTGTTCTACTCTTTTTTTTTTCTCCTGTCATCTCTCTGTTTTTTTTCTTGTCAAAAAAAAAAAAAAAAGTTTGCTTATTTTATAATTTTGCTTGGCTTTTACTACATGCACCTCGCTTTGGTGAGGTGCTTGCCTCGCGCCTCGCGCTTAGGCTATAGGAGACCTTATCGCTTTGGTGCGCCTGGAGCCTTTTAAAACATTGGCCACCGCCACCGCCACCGCCACCGCCACCGCCACAATATAAAAATTGAAATATATAATTTGAAAATAATAAATTTTAAATTTGATCTTATACATATCAAACAACTTATATTTTAGTTAACACTTAAATTTTTATCAAACAGCTTTTCAGCCTAAAAAATTCGCATTCAGTTTTCAATCTTTAATTTTCAGTATTCCGTTTTCATTTTTTAGCTTTATCAAACACCACCTTGCTTTATGTTATAAAAGGCACTTAATAGCCCCAACCCCTAAGCACGTTTAGTTTTAGGCATTCTATTTTGCTCAAATATGAAATTCTTGTTGTAAAACTGAAACGCTGTCTTGAGAAAACAACGTACCCATTTTGGACGATTGTAGAAATACCTCAAGCATCCAAGTATTATTCACAAGAGCTCTATGCTACTTATGGTTGAATTGCATAAATAACCCTCCGAATCTCTGCTACCCAGGCAACAGGAGTAGCGTATGAGAAGGTCCAATGCCACCCCTTGGAGACTGCTGCCTAAAAGTCCTTGTTATGAGTAGGTCTCACACCACCGCTTGAAGACTGCTGTGTAAAGCAGCCGTTCACTCTACCTACATGTTGAATCCCATGAAAATTGCACAAAGATATGCAGGTGGATTTCAGATGAGGCATGATTCGTTAGAGGGAAAGTTTTAAACTACTCAAGTAACTCATTAGAAAGTGGCAGAATACATTCCTGCACCCATATGTTTAGAAAATTTCTCAAGCATTTTGTTGTGCCGTATTATATTGTAGAACAAATAAGTTCTACAGGCTTTCAAGAACGATGCATTTGTTTCCTAATTGGTAGCCCTTTTTAGCTGAAGAGAAGATATGAATGACTTGGAAGTATGGAAGAGAAAAAAGATATAGCAGTAGGCTAAATCTTGATGGAAATGATAGAAGTACATATTAAATAGTAGGTATAGGAACATGTGTCTTTTGGTAATTATGGTTGAAACATCAATGGTGGTAGAGACCTGAAGCAAAGTGGAGGGTTGCTAGATGGGGATAAAAGATATTCGTTGTTTGAGATTACGTATCTCACTGTGCTTATATTTGGTAGGTTTACTTGCATGACAGGAAACTAAAAATCAGTAGAAAAGTACTAATACTGTTACAGAAATAGGTACAGGAACCATAGAGATTAACCAAACTTCTCTCACATACATGAAAATGCCATCATTCAAGCAACAACTAAGGAAAAATGAATGTATGTATTCTTGAAGAAAATACATGAATAAACCAAATTAAATTTCTTGATGTCTTTTAGCAGATGATTCAACTTTTTAAATCAAAATAAATCAAACTTATAGGTGATACCATGTTGATAACAGCTCATCTATGTTGCAGGCAAGAAACAATGCTCGAATTCTGATTTCTGGTTCACTAAGCATGTTTAGCAATCGGTATGTAGTAGACTAGTAGTTTTTAGTTTACCTAAAAGTTTCTTTAGCTTTTATTTTTCTCTGATGAACTTTGGTGCTGTTTTCAGATTCTTCAGATCTGGGGTGCAGAAGGCAGGAAGCCCAATTAAGTGAGTGAAGCTTATACTTTGTTTTTGTTCTGCGTAGATTTTGTAGTTGGCATGCAGGTACTTCAAGTTTGTTATGCTTCTTCCTGATTTAATTCTTCAACGGATGGAATCCGAATGTCCAGATTATCTTTCAATTACTAATTGTGGTTAATGATTATTTCTTAGAATCTGTTTTGCACTAGAATTTTGGAGCATAGTTGTGAAATTGAGTATCGTACTGTGAATCAAAATCCTAATTTTGTGTATTTTGAATCGAATTGAGAATCTTTAAGATTCAACAAAAACTATAAAAAATAATATAAATTGATTTGGCATATGTTGTAAAATAATTCTTATATGACATGATTACACCACCTAATTGGGAAGACATTGGTTTCATATCAAGAGATGTGGATTCAAATCCTTCCAACTATATAATTATCAGCAACCATAAAATAATCTCTTGACTGAAAAAAAAAAGAACGAAGAAAGATGTAGGAACCCTATATAGAGTATAATATGAAGAAAAAATTAAATGAAATCTTTTATTTTGAAATCTAAAACACTTTAGAAGGATGTATGCTTATTGTTCAAAATTAGGTTTGACTGATCTGGCCAATGTAATATCGAGCCATATTTGTTTCACTAAAAAAAATAGGTAATACATGGGCGTAAGTTGCTTTAAGCATCTATAGAAAATGTATTATGTATTATGACATTTTTTTTGGGGTGCGGGGGGGGGGGGGGGAAATGAGAAAAAAGGTAACGAAAATTTCGGATTTGATGGGAGATGATTGGAACTTGTTAAAAACTCATTAATCACCAAAATAACAACAAATCATACTTTAAGTATAGGTAATTTTTTGTACTAAACACTCTTAGAAGTTGTATTATGTTATTTTCATTAAAAATAAAAAATAAAAAGGGTCAGAATATGTTAGACATGATAGTTTTAAGAACGGTATGAATCATAAAAAGTGAATCAAATTGTGAATATTATGAATCGTGCGATTTGTAATAGATTCTATCCCAAAATAGATTCACCCTTAGATTCTAACTGATTATGATTTTGATGTTTATACCTAGACGGAAAAAGAAGTCCTCCATGAGACTACCATTATACACAATGTAGGATTTGTTTACTATTTTTTTGGCACTTCCTTATTTGTAGCCTTGAATGGATTTTGGATGAATTTTTATCTTAACACTACGGCATTTTCTTAGTTCAATGACACTTGAAAGTGCCACAAAACTATTCTTGTAGTGACATTTTTTAGTTTTGTGGTGTTTTGAATAAGTGCCATTTATATTCATGCCACGGTAGATAATAGTGGACCTTTAATGACACTTGTAAGTGCCACTACACCATGAAGACTAAAACCTTCTGCAGACACTTTGATGTCATGTTAGACACTATTCGTGACACTACGAAGTGCTATTAAAGAAGACTTACAATCTAAAAAATGCCACTATATGCTTTTTTAATGGCACTTGTTATGCCATTATTGATATTTTTAACAACTCTTATAAATGCTACTAAACCCAGCTTTTAGTGGCAGTTCAAAGTGTCAGTGTTTCATGATTCATTAGTACCATAAATGAAGACAAGTGCCATTGGAGCTTATTCTAGTGACACTTTGCAAAGCTATTGCCACTACTATGAAATGCCACTTATATGCTCTTCTGAGCGACACTTTCAAAAGCCACAACTAAGCGTGTGAAAATGCCTGTAAAAATTATTCCTTATTTTATAAAAAATTAAATATTAATTGCTACATCATACATTAACAATTTAAAATCCATTTATCCTGTAATATTTCCGTAACAATAAACAATATTATTAGCATAGGATTATTACATCAAGAACAAATAAAATTCGAAGCACTATTTTTTTTTGGTCTAAAGATATAAATTTATTTATATTGCGTTAAAAATCATAGTCAAAATTATAAAACACTCTACGACACTAACAAAGTCAAAGCAAAAACAAATCTAACCATGGACAAACTAAACACAAGTTGTCAAAAACCATAGTTATATCTATTTTCCACGAAGACAAATTATGAAAACAAACTCAGTTCCCAAATTTTCACCGTCACTTGTATAAGTATTCTCAACTAGCATCCATAGCTTGCGAAATCTGCATCTAAAGAATAAACATATAAAAGCATTAGAAACTATATTAAGTTAATATAAATTTGTCAATGGAATTAGTATTTACAGAAGAAATATACCACAAATGAAATAGGGCAAGCAACATGAGCTCCAATAGCTTGTCCAATTGTTTTGACAAGTCCATATGTTTGGATGAACCTCTCATTTGGTTTGACTGGAACTTGAACTTGTACCTCCCAAAAGTCAAGTCGTAGTTCTTCCCTTTCTATGTCTTTAGATGGGTTTATGCTGTAAACTACTCCAATTGCAACTATTTTTGTTGGCTTAATAATACTTTTTAGAACAACTATATCTCCAAACTGTAAATCAAGTTTTAATTACTCAATTAAAATATGTATTTACAATTAATAAATACTATTTTTTTTTAAAAAAAAACTAGTACAAAGTGGGAGAGTGAAGTTGATGACAATTGAAAGTGATATGCATTTCTCTAGTAGATAGGCAAGCAACAATTTATTTCCTACTACCTATCTACTTTTTTATGTTTTGGATACACATATTTTAGTGAAAGGAAACAAAAATATAAAGGGAATCAATTTACCATGATTTAGTCCACCACAGTACAACAAAGCATCGAAAAGCATCAACTATATATTCCTTAGACCATATCAAACAATAGCTTAAAAAATCAGAAACAACCAAAGGCAACAATCAGCAACAATCAAAACCATGCCCTTTACCAATATTAGGATCCCCTTCATTGCTTTAATACCATAAGTCACACATCTACTAGTAATGAATGAAGAGCACCTTGTTCTGTATGTAACCAAATGGGCTAAGACAAGTTTTGCATGCTATTGTAAAACAAAGCTAGAAGTAATGTCATTTATATGATTTAGCTCTTAGTGGGTACCAGAGTAAAAGAGACATCTTGCATTGATGACGAGGGCCATACTTGATGTCGAGCTGCCATGTGATGAGGACTAGAAGCATGTGCGACCTAACCAAATTGAAGTACCATTAACTCTGTTGAGCTCCCAACATTGGAAGACAATTACCCAATTTGTACCTTAAAATTCCAATGTAAAGTTAATTGGGATTAGGTTGATTAATTGAGGAATCCATTCCACTAGACATACTTTTCTTGTAGACCAACCGCCTAAGATCTATTTACTGGTTGATTCCATTTTTTCTTCTTATAATACAGACATATAGTAATTTGGTCATTGTTTTGGAGTTCTTTTTTCAACAGTTATATGCCAAATCCAGGAAACAATGTGGGTTTATTAAAAAAAGTGAGAGATAGAAAGAGATGGGGTGAGGGTCCAATTAGTAACCTTTATACTAACTTATTTGGCTTTTAGTTAAATATAAGTTAAATAAATTATTTTGTCAACTATCACATGATAAGGTTATGTTTGGTTTCAGCTTAATAATCAATATCTTCAACCTCTACTTTATTCTCAACATCAAAAAAACTTTGAATTACAACAAGCTAAATATTTGTAGATCAATTAGATAAAAGAATCAAACACCTAGATTTATCACCTCTCCTAAACAGATTATGATTGCCAGTCACTAAAATATTTAAGACTTAAAATTGGGTCTGAAATTGTCATTGTGGATAAAATTGCGAGACTTGAATAAAATACAAGTTTTCTACAAACTAAAACTAGTCAAGAGTGAGCAACCTGCATCTTGAGACAAATACATCTATACCATAAGAAAAAAAGGGACTTAGCATATTAACAGAGTAGCTTGATAAAAATAAACACCAAAAAATATAATTTTGAATTTTCAAAAATCGTTTTCACCCCCCAAAAGAGAAATTCATCTAAAATTAATGAATTTTTCCCCCATTTATTTCAACATGTTAGTTTTTGAAACAAAATAAAAAATTCAAAAAAAAAAAAAAAAATTCAAAAAGCTCACCCAAATAGAGATCCCTTACAATAAAACCAAAGTTTGTGTTCTGCGTGCCATACATCAAAGAATTTAATTCATGAAGTGTCACAACCCGTGACCATGGAAGAATATAGTTGAAGTTTAGGTTGAACCAAGCATCAAACCAATTGGAACAATAGCAGCCTACAAAATAAATACAATGGGATACATTAGAAGAATAGGAATTTGGCATCAAGTCCACAAGGGATACATTAGCATAATGGAAGTTCTAGAACCAACCAGAACATCTGATAACTTTCAATTTCAATAACAATTGAACTGTGTTTTTAATCCCATCTATTATTCAATTCAATTTTACACCTATAATTTTGAATCTAAATAGTGGTAATTAGACGAAGAGTTTATGAAACCCTAGCTTCAATTCCTTTGCATCTGTGAATCAAAAGCAATAACTATAGATTCATACAAGATGTGGTTGATTAAATTTCCTAAAATACAGGCATAAATAAATAAAAATCAATAAAATAGGTTTTCTAATTTTGAAGTAAGACACCAAAATTCAAAAAATATAAATTTAGATATACATACAGAGTCGCATATATCATACATAGATATATAAAACAATTAAGAATCAAATAGAATCAATTATGGAGATTTCCACTTGAGACTGATTCACTATGGCATTCGGTTATAAGAAGCAATTGTGGGACTCATGACAATGGTAGGGATTCACGGGTGGTTTTGAGGGGTAATTGTCATGCTCCTTGGAAATCAATTTCTCAAATTTTCACATGTTGGTCTCGTCATCTTTCTGTAAGGGTGGGCAATGAGAAACTTGTTCGATTTTGGGAGAATGTTTGGATGGGTCAATCTTCTGTTGCTGCTGATTTCCCACATCTATATAGAGTGGCTCGATCTCACAATTCTTCAATTGCTTCCATGGTTTGTTCACTTTTGGCTCCAATTTCCTAAAATTTTGATTTTTCTAGGAATCTTAATGATAGGAAGGCTTCACAGTTGACTTTTTTGTTGTTCAAAATTGATCATTTTTCTTTATCTTCTCTTTTGGAGGACAAGAGGGTTTGGGCTCTTCATTCGTCCGAGATATTTTCTTGTAAGTCTTTTTTTGATTCATCATTGATAATCCTCATGTTCCTCAGTTTCTTTTTTGCAAAAAAGTTTGGAAGGCTTGTGCTCCTCTAAAGGTAAAGGTGTTCATGTGGGCCTTGGTTCATGGAGGCAGTTTGACAAATAATACATTGCAGAAACGGAGACCTAATTGTTTTCTAAATTCTCAGTGGTGCATTGTGTGATGTAAGAATGGAGAATCTGTGGATCATTTATTCTTGCATTGTCCAATCGCTTTGAATTTATGGCATAGATTGTTCTCTTTGGGGAATGTTATGTGGGAAGCCCCAAAAGGGAGTGCGCATATGCTCCTAATTGATTTTTGCACATTCGGAGGATCTAAGAGAGCCAAAATGTTATGGTCTTGTGCCGTCTTTGCAACTTTTTGGGTTCTATGGATGGGAAGAAATGCAAGGTTGTTTGAAGATAAGTTCCGGGAGGTGGGCTGTTTGTGGGATAATGTTTGTCACTTAACTTGTTTTTGGGTGTCGGGTAGCTCTTTATTTAGAGATTGGTTGGCTGTGTGTAATATGTAGGCTTTTGCTCTTGATTAGCTTGTTAGGGGTTTCATTTTTTGTATTCTCATTGCCTTTTTGTAAGAGGATGCTTCATCCTCGTTTCCTTTTTTGATTTATCAATAAAAGTTTTTTTTTCGTTGATAAAAAAAAAAGAAGAGAGAATAAAAGTACCTGATCAATTCACAAATGAAAAAGTTTGATTGATGATTCGGGGTAAAAAAATCACAAATCCACTTGTTTCTCTCTCTGTAGTATCTGAGTTTGTTTCTCGGAGAGATAAATCGACGACGGAGAGAGAGAGAGAGTTCGTGTGAGATGTATTATAGAGAGAGAGACAGAGTTGAGGAGAGTGAGGACTTGCCGGAACAGTCCACAACGTCGGACACACTGCTGCCGGAGATCGTTGAACAGCCTGGTAGCTACCCTCCTGTTGCTTTGTAAACATCCATGGTTCTATTCACAACCCTTGGGAATTCTCAACTCTTTGGAGAGAGCGACTAACATTTTGTGTCTATTTAATATCTGGGCTAGGTATGGAATAAAGAGTTTTGACCCATTCATTTATAAAATATTAATTATAATTTTATATTATTTTAACTATAAATTAAGATATAAAAAATATAAATGAGTTCATGTAAGATTTTGGCTTAGTGACATTTTTCAAAATGCCATAAAAGTTTTTACTGAATGCCAAAAAAGCTACTGACACCTAGTTAGTTTAATGACATTTTAAAAAAAATGCCATTACTACTAGAGTTTAGTGGCATCTTCTCACAAAATGACATTAAAATAGTTGTAATGTATTAGTCGTTCAGTGACATTTGCTGATAAATGTCATTAAAACTATTTTTTGTTTCATTCTTTTATGAAATGTCATAAAATTGATACCACCAAAGCACATTCTTGTTGAAGTGTAATACAGTTCATTTTATCCATCCTTCTGTACAGTGACTCTTGATTAAAACTCCCTGCCTTTAGTGAGAAATTTTATTTTGTGATAACAGACATTTGAAATCTGGTAATGAGCAGCTTTTGACTGAACTTAGCAAATGGATTTTCCATGAAAGAGGTCACCTTAAGGTAAGGAATTTTAACTCTCTGCGGTTATACAATCTTGTCAGTTGTCACTTTAGTTCTTCATTGTCACCTGGATGTCAACTTTCTTTTGAAGTTGTGGTGGTGTTGGGAAAATAATGACCGTTCTATAGAAAAAGATGATTGCAATAACCTTACAGCATTGTTTAAGCTTCTATTTTTTCATGTTTCAAATTCGTACACATGTTTTGATCTATAGGCTATGAATGTTAGACACCACAAAGTTGGGGAGGCTGATGAACCAGCCATGTACCGGATCAACGATGACCTGGTAAATTTGTCTACTGATTTTGTTAAATGCTGATGACACATAGAATAATTAAATGAAGGGAAAGCTGTGCTACTGCTAACACTTGAGTTTTATTGAAGGAATATTCTGTTGAGATTTATGAGTGGTCTGGCGCTAGTTGGGAACCATACAATGCCAATGATGTTCAAGTACAGTTTTACATGATGAGCCCCTATGTTTTGAAAACCTTATCAGCTGATCATAAGGTATTTTTAAGTGATAGTTAATTTCAAGACTTGCATGTGTTTTGTGGACGCCTGTATCCTAATTACCTGTTCCCACAGGGCCTCTATTTTACGTCTTTCAAGGTTCCAGATGCTTATGGAGTCTTCCAGTTTAAGGTTGAGTACCAGAGGCTTGGATACACTAGGTTGTCCCTATCAAAGCAGGTAATTAATCTTTTTCATATGTAATCCACTTTTAGCTGTAGTCTATAGAGATTATATTTTTTTCCTTATATTTTATGCTTAGGAAAAAATAAAATTTCTCTTTTTGCACCAGTGAAATCATTGTCTGCTCTCCTTGGTTACTTTAATATCTTTGCTGATTTCAGCACAGAAAATATTGTCCATAATAGACCTTTTGCAGTGATCTCTTAATGACACAAAACAACAATAATAGTAAGGGTAAATTATAAATATTCTCCCTAAGGTTTGCTTAAAATACAGATTGTCTCATGTGGTTTGGAAAATTACAAATACCCCTTGTCATAATTTTTTATCTAACAAAATTAATTGAAAAAATAAAATTTCTTGTTGCTCTCCTATACAATAATAAAATTACTTGATTTTTTAATTGAAATATATTTCTGATATCATTAAAAACTGTTACTTGAGTTGATGATTTATTAATAAAAGGGGCCATTTGTTATGAAATTAGAAACTTCAAGGGGCATGATGTAATTTCTAGAACCACAGGGGGAATTTGTATTTTAAGCAAATCTCTGTGGTTTTATTTGTAATTTAATAATAACGATAGTTTGTCATTAATGGACGACTTTGAAAATTGTATTAGAACTGCCTGATTTAAGAAAATAATTAGTTTTGTAGTGCAACCCAATTATCAAGAAGGAACCAGAGCAAAAGAAAAGAAGACGGCAATCACAATTAGGAAAGGTGCTTAAGTATTTGTAAGATTGTAGAGTAGGCCAGAGCATGTGAACAATATGGTAATACAAGTGAGACCATGTAAAGCACTAGGGAAAAAAAACATCAGTATCATCTTCCACAATTTAAACTTGGTCAAAGAGCAAAGACTGGTCATGTGATAGTCTGCTATGATGCTCTCAATTTTGTAATAAAAAATGTCAATAGAAGAAGAATGAGACATTAAGTGGGTAAAAAGAAAAGAAAAGAAAAAACCTTCAAATAAATATCCTCCAGATTGGATCATGAATCCAACTTTACCCAAATTTATCTGTTTTAACTGAAAAAATATCCTTCTTTATGCCTGCCACCCTTAAAGGGATAATTCATGTCCCACTGGGACATGGGTGTCTGCATTTTACTTATTTTGAAAGAAAAAAAAAAATACTAAATAAAACAAAAAGAAAAGAGAAAAAGTAATTTTGTGCTTTCCTCGTTATTTCCCTTGTATATTTTTCTTTCGCTCCTTGTGAACACTTTGAGCTTGTGTTTATGATGGTGTTGTGGATCTATACTCTTGCACGAATCACATTTGCCAAAGAAATTAACCAAGAATTACTTTTTCATATTAAAAGAACTAAATTAAAAAGCGTGACATTATATTTGATCTTTTGATCTTTCTCTGGTGTCTTTCACCCCAGATACCAAGTCACTTGGTAAATTGAAGAAGGATGAGTAAATCAAGTTATAGATTAATCACTGGTGTCGGAGTTCACTAATAAGTTTAATTGTGTTGGTTGACCTTTGCTTTAATCATAACATTTATATTACAGAAATAAGGCATGGTTCACTGTGTGTTACTTAGCGGGCTGCTACAATGAACACATTAATATTGGAATTTCTCCAATTGCAGATTCCTGTTAGACCCTTCAGGCACAATGAATATGAAAGGTTCATACCAACAGCTTTTCCCTATTATGGAGCATCATTCTCTATGGTACCTCTCTCTCTCTCTCTCTTATGGTTGCTGTCTTATGATTTTAATTATTTTGGTAGGAGATTGGTTACGGTAGGAATCTGGGCCAATGGACCACCCTCCACAAACTTGTCCTATGATTCTTTTGTTTTATTTTTGTGAAAAGTATCTTATAATTACTTTATGAAGGGTGGGGTAGACCTTACTCGTAATTGTTTCCCACCTTTCTTCTTGCATGAAAGGATGTCCCGAACCCTGATAAGCTGTGTATTTAATCTCTCATGCCTACAATGTCAAGATAGCAGACAGTACCATGTAATCCTCATTGGGCGATGAAATCCCCAGCATCATTAGTGTTTTGCAATTCAATTCCCTTAAGTACGTTTTCACTGCTGGTTCAGGGGTAGAGTACTAAAGGTCCTCGGATTTCCAGGCAGTTTTTCTTTTGGGGCAGCTGTTCACCTTTGGATCTCGCCTATACAGCCCCATATAATTTTTGTTACCGAGATATCTCTTTTTTTTCATTGTTCCCAGGGATTTTTTGGGTAATCCGCTCCCATGCTGCAAACAGTCAAATCTGAACTTTGTTGCTCTTCTTTCTTTCCTCGGGAGCTGGAAGCACACAAGCAATGTGTGTTGCGTGATTCTATTGTGTTCTTTGCACTTGACTAGAAATCTCCAACATCGTTAGTGTTGTTAAGTGCTTTTCCATGAAAAGTACTGGAATTAAGCAAATTCTTTATGCGCCCCTTTCTTTGTTATCTTATTTGCCGTGACCTACCAACCTAGCCTTACGCACCATTTGTTTGGATTGAGAACATTTTTCTTCATGTTTTACTAGTTGATACAATGGAAAAAGGAAGTAAACAAAAAAACAAGACTATATGTTAGGAAAATATTTTATATTTTTAAAAGGTGAAAAACATTTTCTAGGTCTTACCAAAGCCTCCACACCACCACCACACCACCACCACCTCCACACCAACTTAGTTTCGAGAATGCAAAAACATGGGAAAACATTTTTGAATTTTTTTTCATAGAAAATGTTCTTTACTATTAATTAGTAGCACATTTATGTTTTGTTGTCTTCTTGGGGTTACATACTCCACTACGTACTTGCCTCACTAGTTTGACGAGAGTTTGTTGCTCCTAATTTTAGTTTTTTGCATTCCAAACTTACTCTAATGATGTATACAATGCTGAGAGGTTAGTGATCATGTAATATTTGAATAATGGTGCAGATGACAGGTTTCTTTATCTTCACGATTGTCTACTTGTACAACAAGTAGGTGCGAAGCCATTTGTTTCGGCAACATTCTGACACGATCAAGAGCACACCTTCACCTTTTAGAGTTTTGATCAATTAGCAGTAGGACAAAATCTGTTTTTTATGATATCATTGAGGCTCGATGTAATGAATGAATTAGGTTAGGCAAAACAATTTTTGTTCTACCATGTCTGAAAATTCACTGCTGTTTTTGCAGCAGGAAGAGTGAGGCTTTGTTGATGATGAGTACTAGGATCTCTAAGAGGAATGAATTTACTTATTTTCAGTTTACTTGTGTGAGGTCTTTTTTTTTTGGTTTCCATAAATTATTTTAGCAGTTTGGATAAGACATTTTGGTGCAGTTTTTACTTATAGTTGAAGGATTTTTACTCAAATTTTATTTCGTACAGTTGTATTGCATTAGGTCCTATAGTTTTTTATTAATCAATAAGGGCGTTTAACTCATAAATCCAAATTTGAATTTCGTTTGTTCAAAAGTTCAAACGCTAAACAATTATGTCCATAAGCCTCTTTCTATCTGTTATTCATCTCCATACTTTGCCACTGTCGATCGCCTTCCTTTGATCTCACACCGTCGATTGCCTTCCTTCGATCTCGACATCTTCTCTTCGCTTGGTTCATACTACGCTGCCATCGGTGGTGGCAGTGGTTTCTCTCTTAACTTATCGGAGACGAGCTTAATGAAGCAGAAGTCCTCATTAGTTGATGGAGTAAAGGGTTTGCAAATGCTCGTTGAGCTCCTCATTGCCCCAATCTTCACTGTAAACTCTCTGCCGATCTCTCTCTCTCTCTCTCTATATATATATATCTGTATTGAAAGGTGGTGATGGAAGAAAACATACACACACTCTCTCTCTATCTCTCTCTCTCTCTCTCTATATATATATATTTGTATTGAAAGGCGGTAATGGAAGAGAGGGCAGTGGACGGCTTTGGTGACAGAGGATGGAATAGAATGAAAAGAATTATTTGGCTTTTCTACGAATGAGGTAGATGCCATGCATATATAATAGATTTACGACACAATTTAGAAAACGATATAAATAAAGAAACGATAATAAATCAGTATTTGATACAATTACAGATTATATACATAATAGTAAAAATAAAAAGATTTTTTGTATTTTAATTTCTATATTCAACAATCTCCTTCACGTTGGTGTGAAGATATTCAACAATCATAGCTTGCCAATCAATAACGGGAAGAAGTTGGAAAAAAACTCAACAACTAGTCCAAATAAATGTTACCGAACAAATATGGTAGTCCACTAAATAAATAAAAAAGTCAAAAAGTGTTTAATACATCAACACCACATCCTAGAAAGGAAGGGGGGGGGGGGGGCTGCCGAAGCATCTATGTCCACGAAACACCTTGGTCGGGAACCAACAAGACCCTAGTCGGCATCAGAGGCCGGAGCTAATGCAGGGAGATAGTTTATGGTTGTGTCAGACTGTTGTAGAAATTGATCGGAACTAATGTTGGGACAGTTCAAGGTCATGTTGGACCATTGTAGGAACTGATCGGAATCAATGTCGGGACAGTTTATGGAGTCATACCGGACTGTTGTAGAAACTAACCGGAATCAATATCGGGACAGTTTAAGCGGTCATGTCAGACTGTCGTAGAGACTAATTGGAATCAATGTCGAGCCAGTTTAAAGGGGTCATGCCGGACTTATGTAGAGAACTGGATGTTGAACTAGCAAGCGTGACACACGCATAACTTCTGACATGGTGCTGAATGATGATGACAACAGATGACTGAGTGCGCCAAGTGGCGACTTATTAGAAAGTGCGCTAGGGGAGGCGACTTAGGTGATGCGCCAAGGGGGGCGACTTGGATTGTGCGCTAGAGGAGGCGACTTAGGTTTTGCGTCAAATGGCGCGGCTTGGGTAGTTTACATAGTAAATCAACATGCTCACAACGATATAGGTATAATACCCCCCTTTAAACTCAAATATGTTTGAAGAACTTATTTGAGGTTGAAATAGAGGGAAAAACAAAGTGGAACAGAAACATATAAAAAAAATGAATTGCAAGTAAAAAAAAAATATGATAGAGATATTTGAAATATGAATAAACTAGTAGATAGATGAAGAGATCACCACGAAATGATACTAAAATAAATTATGGTAGTGGAATGGGTTGAGGTCCGACAGGCGATTAAGATAAGGCTGCTGCCCGCTGGTGAGGCAAAATTACTACGTACTTAACTTAACTCTGATACAAAAAAAAATGAAAATAATTATTTAGCTTTCCCATGAATGAGGTAGATGTCATACATATATAATAGATTCATGATATAATTTAGAAAACAATATAAATAAAAAAAACTATATAAATAAAGAAACGATACGATTGATACAATTACAGATTATATACATAATATTAAAAATATATATATATTTTTTTATATATATTCTAATTTCTTTATTCAACCGATGGTGGTGACTAATGATTTTACTGAGCTGAAGAATCAGAACTTGCATCTCTCTTTCTCTCTCTCCATGAAATCAAAGTTGGAATGATTGACGGCACTCTCACGGCTTTGACATGAGGTGATCTCTCGGGCTCTTTCTTTTGAACTTCTCTCCTCTACCACCACACCTAGATCCCCCTCACTGGGCCAATTTCCCTCTTTGTGCCGTTTTGAACATTTTAGTCCCATTTTAGGGTGTAATTTTATCTTTATTCCCAAAGTAGGATAAAACGGTTTTTGTAATGCTGTTTTTTAAAAATCGACTTTCACAAAACTGTATTCATCGATTAAAATAATAATAAAATTTGAAAATGGAAACCGACTTTTCTAAAGCCGTTTTTGATTAAGATTTTAATTATTCTGAATTAATTAAAAACGGTTTTCGTAAAACCGTTTTCCCATTAATTTTTTTTTAATTTATATTTTCGACAGACTAATGATTTTACTGAGCTGAAGAATCAGAACTTGCATCTCTCTTTCTCTCTCTCTCCATGAAATCAAAGTTGGAATGATTGATGGCACTCTCACGGCTTTGACATGAGGTGATCTCTCGGGCTCTTTCTTTTGAACTTCTCTCCTCTACCACCACACCTAGATCCCCCTCACTGTATTCTCTATCTCTCTCTTTCTAGGATTTAAGAAAGGTAAACTGTCGCGACGAGAGCAAGGTAAGATTTTTACAGTGAAAGAAGCATGAGGTGTGAAATTTCAAATTTTTTGAGATATTAATATTTTAATAAAAAGTATTAATAATTTATTATAGTGGTTTGGTGGTGAGAATTTTTTGATGAGAACATAACATATTTTCTTATATTTATTTTATTATTTATTTTTTCAATCATATCATAATTAATATTTTGTTCATTTCTTTTTAAAAATAATTTTTTCTTATATTTCTTCCTCACCAAGAAAACAACAATTAAAAAAAAAAGGGGGACCGACAACCCACACGGGGCTTCATGACTCCATGCCATCATTTCCATCTTTTCCTTTGTTTATTACATTTCTTGCTCTCCAAATAAAGCTTACATACTTTGGGCTGTACTTTGATTTATTTGTAGCCTGCTTAGAACTGAGTTCCATTGATGTTTCAGTAGTGGGTCATTTCTTATGATTTGGATCACCAAATCAAGTTAACAATCAATTATCTCAAGACTGAACTTACAAATGTCATGATAACACCTCAAAGCATATTTTTTTTTTCTTGTTAAATAATAATAAAAAAAAAAACCCCACATGGCACCATCGCTTGTCTGGGAACGACACCATACCTGAAAATAAATATCAGCTTTTAATCTGGCCATCCATTCAAAACCTTCATAACCGGTTTACCCAAATGCACTTTGCCACTCGCAAGGTCATGGAATTAACTGAAAACAATGGCAACGAAACGTTGTAATTTATAATACTAACCTTTTTGGAAGGAGAAAAAAAAAAAAGGAATTAATTAAAAAAACCAACCATTGCCTATCACTTATTATTTTATTCGGCTTTACTTACTACTTTATTAAACGGAACTTATTACTTAATCAATTTCCACTTATTACTCTATTTGACTTTAGCAATTAATGTTTTCAAGTGTAATAGGTAAAAGACAGGAATTATTGTACATGTATTTATTTATTACCAAGAATAAATATTGACAAATGAGAATTATTTCTAAATTATTTTATTCTATTGTAATTTTAATTTATTCTTTACAATATTTTAGCTATTAAAAAATATTACGAAGAAAAAAATATTTCATTATGGATATTAACTTGATAAAAAAAAAAAAAGAATTTATAAAAGTTTCTAAAAGATTTTTTGAGGTGTTGTAGGTATAAAAAAAAGTAACTATTTTAAATTAATGTTTTTTAAAATAAGTTTAAATAACTTACAATTCAAAAACAGTTTGTTTATAATTTATTTTTATTTATTTTTAATATTATATCAAAAATTAATTTTTCACAATAATTACAATTTTAAAAAATTTGTAAATTTTAACAAATTAATATTTACGTATCATATTTTACTTTTTACAAATCATAACAAGACAAAATATGAAAGAAAAATGGTTAAATATGATGTATCATTAGTTTTATGCATTTAAAATGCAAAAAAGAACACAATTTTCAAGAAATGGAGGTGACTTGTTTAGCAGGTAATATTTTAAAGTAAGTTTATTCATAACAAATAGTAAGTGAATGAATAGCAAATAGAAAGTATGTTTCTAGCAATTAGTAAGTTAGCATCATTTTTTTTTTTAATTTTAAAATTAACTAAAACCACTCTACTTTTTGAAAAATCACCTTACTTTTTCTACCTAATTTTATTATCTACTCATTTAATAACTAGTATTTATTCTATTTAAATCTAATGATCTATACATATACATATATATATTTTATGTACCCTACATCATAATCATTTTTATGTATGGTAGAATTTTCTTTGCTTGTCCATTCTTTTCATTTATTTAATTCTTATTTCTTCTTTCACTTTCCTATAAATTGAGCTTCCCTCATCCGCTTCTATCATTCTTCTTCTCTCATTATTTTTTTGCTTCATCCCTGTATCTCTGTTTCCCCACTTGTAATCAACAATTTATGTTTAGTTTGGAAATATTTAGAGGGAGAGTTAGTAATTTTATTAAAAAAGAGAGTTGTAGATTTTGTTAAACTTCACATACATTATATCATAGAATTTTAATTCGCTATTTTTGGAGATTCATGAAAAAATATCAGATGATTAAAGTGTTGGTGACGAAGGAATTATTTTGAGATAATTGGGATAGTATATAATATGTTTTCTCTTAGTGTCTTTGCAAAAAGTGTTATTTTAATTACTTCCAATTTGTATTCCGTTTGTTATATTTGTCATTTGATAAATTCTGTAAAATTATTCTATGTTGGTACATTTGATTACTCTAGTTATTTGATAAAATTTCGTGAAGTTATTCTATTTTGAAGATGTTGGTTTGTCTGACTAAATGACGTAAAAATGCTCCGTACATGGATCGAGTAGGCCGTGCCAATAGTTTACACCAATATGCCCGAATAAGCGGTCGTGCTTGGGTGAGGTGGGTGGGGCCGATCATTAGTCATGTATTGAATAGGATTGAGTATTTGATCCCGGATAAATTATCATATGTTGAGTTGATTTGTTTATGCAATTTGATAAATTGCTTGTTAATTCGAATCAAATCGTTTGTGCCATGTCATAAATTGTTGGATCCCTATTAATTTATTCTCTATCTAAGCATTGTTATTCACCTCGTATTGTATATTTTCCGAGTTAATTTATTTTTCAAGTGCGGGGCAATTTAGTGGGGATCGGGGTTCAATCATTTTAATGGATTATTTGAGTTAGAGATTTTAGGTTCAATACTATATATTATTTTTGGGGATAATTGTGTAAATATTTTGGAGAAATTTGTGTAAATTATTTCTAGAGACGATTTGTATATTTGAGTTGATTAGTTTTATTAATGGCTCGGGATTTGGGACATTACAAAATAGTATTAGAGCGTAGGCATTAGGTCTTAGATGGGATCTGTAGGATGGTTGATATTTGAGGTTTAAAAAAAAACATTGGTAGATATTGGAGGTGGAAAAAAAAGAAGAAAGATCATTGTTTATATTAGAGTGCCCCTGGAAACGTGTTTTTTGAAAAGTTAGTTGTTATTAAATTTTGAAATATTAGGAATTGAGAATTTCGAGGACGAAATTTGTTTAAAGTGGATAGATTATGAAATCTCATATTTTTTTAGATATTAATATTTTAATGAGAAATGTTGATAATTTATTATAGTGGTTTGGTAGTGAGATTTTTTCCATGAGAACCTAACATATTCCTTTATATTTTATTTTATCTCTTTTATTTTCATCTCATCTTAATTAATATTTTATTCACCTATTTTTAAAAATAAAATTTTCCTATATTTCTTCCTCACAAAAAGAAAAAAGAAAAAAGAAAAAAAAAAAAGAGATTAGGCCGACAACCCAGACGGGGCTCTATGCCTCCATGCCATCATTTCCATCTTTTCCTTTGCTTAATTCCTTTTCTTTCTCTCCAAATAAAAACCCATATGGCACCATTGCTGGTCCTTTTTTTCATTTTTTTAATCCTATTACTTCTTTCACTTTCCTATAAATTGAGCTTCCCTCATCCGCTTCTATCATTCTTCTTCTCTCATTATTTTTTTGCTTCATCCCTGTATCTCTGTTTCCCCACTTGTAATCAACAATTTATGTTTAGTTTGGAAATATTTAGAGGGAGAGTTAGTAATTTTATTAAAAAAGAGAGTTGTAGATTTTGTTAAACTTCACATACATTATATCATAGAATTTTAATTCGATATTTTTGGAAATCCATGAAAAAATATCAGATGACTAAAGTGTTGGTGACGAAGGAATTATTTTGAGATAATTGGGATAGTATATAATATGTTTTCTCTTAGTGTCTTTGCAAAAAGTGTTATTTTAATTACTTCCAATTTGTATTCCGTTTGTTATATTTGTCATTTGATAAATTCTGTAAAATTATTCTGTGTTGGTACATTTGATTACTCTAGTTATTTGATAAAATTACGTGAAGTTATTCTATATTGAAAATGTTGGTTTGTCTGACTAAATGGCGTAAAAATGCTTCGTACATGGATCAAGTAGACCGTGCCAATAGTTTGCACCAATATGTCCGGATAAGCGGTTGTGGTTGGGTGAGGTGGGTGGGGCCGATCATTAGTCATGTATTGAATAGGATTGGGTATTTGATCCCGGATAAATTATCATATGTTGAGTTGATTTGTTTATGCAATTTGATAAATTGCTTGTTAATTCGAATCAAATCGTTTGTGCCATGTCATAAATTGTTGGATCCCTATTTCGCCCAAGTCTGCTGTCACAGCAAGCAT